TGTCCCCAGGAGTGGTTCACGGTGTACGAGCACAACCGTGCACCCCCATTGCCCCCCGCACACTGACACCCCGTTGTTGTTGTTGTCGCCCCCAGGAGTGGTTCACGGTGTACGAGCACAACCGCGCGCCCCCATTGCCCCCCGCACACTGACACCCCGTTGTTGTTGTTGTTGTTGTCACCCCCAGGAGTGGTTCACGGTGTACGAGCACAACCGCGCGCCGCGCTGCGTGGTCAGCGAGCTGGTCATGGGCAACGAGTACCTGTTCCGGGTGTTCAGCGAGAACATGTGCGGCACGAGCGAGGCGGCCGCGCTGTCGCGCAACACCGCGCGCATCCCCAAGGCCGGTGCGCACCGCCGCGCTACAGCCGCGCGCTACAGCCCGCGCGGGGACGGCAACACGGGGGGACCGGGGACAGGGACAGCCGGGCACGGGGACAGTCGGCACGGGGACAGTCGGCACGGGGACACTGGGGACAGGGACAGCCGGGCACGGGGACAGCCCCGTGGGGACACCCGGACCCCCCTAACCCCCCCCCAGCTGTGGGTCACTCCAGCCCCCCCGTTTCGGGGGGCACCCCAGGGGTGTCTGTGGGGGGGGGCTGCCTGGACCCCTCTGTGGGTCACTCCAGTCCCCCCATTTTGGGGGGACATCCCTGGGGGTCTCTGTGTGTGTGGGGGGGTCACCTGGACATCTGGGCCCCCCCTGCTGTGGGTCTCTGCACTCCCCTGTTTTGGGGGGACATCCCTGGGGGTGTCTATGTGTGTGGGGGGGTCACCTGGGCCCCTCTGTGGGTCACTCCAGTCCCCCCATTTTGGGGGGACATCCCTGGGGGTCTCTGTGTGTGTGGGGGCTGCTCGGACACCTGGGCCCCCCCCCGTGGGTCTCTGCACTCCCCCATTTTGGGGGGCATGCCCGGGGGTGTCTGTGTCTGTGTAGGGGGCCGGGCCCCCCTGTGGGTCTCTGCACTCCCCCGTTTCGGGGGGCATCCCCAGGGGTGTCTGTGTCTGTATGGGGGGCCAGGCCCCCCGTGGGTCACTCCAGTGCCCCCGTTTCGGGGGGCATCCCCGGGGGTGTCTGTGTCTGTATGGGGGGCCAGGCCCCCCGTGGGTCACTCCAGTGCCCCCGTTTCGGGGGGTATCCCCGGGGGTGTCTGTGTCTGTATGGGGGGCCGGGCCCCCCGTGGGTCACTCCAGTGCCCCCGTTTCGGGGGGCATCCCCGGGGGTGTCTGTGTCTGTATGGGGGGCCGGGCCCCCCGTGGGTCACTCCAGTGCCCCCGTTTCGGGGGGCATCCCCGGGG